ATAAGTTGTCATCCAATCTGGGACACTTTGGAGAGAAAAACAAAGATGCTATTAATAATTATGCTAGGACAACAGACAAAAACCAGGACTGTATTGACCAAACCAGGATCTGTGGTCATTCTACTTACATGACTTGCTCTATCCTTACATTGCTGTAATAATAGCTCACATCTCTGACATGTCATGCCTTTCCCTGGCAAATACTCACAGAGACAGTGATTCCATGGAAGGTATAGACCTCAGCATCTATTAAAATAACTGGCACATCATAACCAATCAATTTATTGTTTGAAAGATGGGAATTTTATTGGAGGAGAACCTTCTAAACTGATGAAGTGCTGTAGAAAAAGAAAAGGAGATAAGAAGGAACAACAAGCAAACCAATCTGGGTGGAACAAATCTTTGGAGAATTGGGACAGGATTTTGGAAAAGACTATGGCAACTCTTGATTGTCAGACAAAGGAATTTATTACAATATTGGGGAACAGTGGAAGGTTTATATGTAAGAGATGACATGAAAGATAACTGGTAGTTTTATGTAAGATGAGTTGGAGGGAGGGAAAGGCCCAGAGAACTGTAAGGAATATTTGGGGAAAAAAAAGAAAAAAGGATGAATGTCTAGACTGAGATCTTTGCCATCTAACATTTTGTGCTTGATGAAAAACTCAAGACCTTGAAAACTGCAAGTGACAGAAACCCCAGATTAGCCTGGTTTAACCAAAAAGAAAAATGTATGAGCTTTGCTAACATAAATACACGGGCTTTGATGGACTTGAATCTCAAATAGTGGCATCTCATCAGGAATCTTCCTATCTCCATTTCTTGTTTCTCCTTTTTACTGTACAGATTCAGTCTCAGTCAAGTTCTATGCACGTCATGTCAAAATGCCAGCAGCAGCTTTGAGCCTACTTTCTACCACCTTAGCAACCCTGGTAGAAAGATAATACCTCTTTACCCATGGCTCCAGAAAAAATACTGTGGAAGGTTCTCATTGATCACCTGCTCTTCCTTGAACTAAGCTCTTGATGGGGGGTGTCATGCTTTGATTGGCTGGGCATTGGTCATGTTTTTAATCCAAGTGATGGACACAGCCTTACCCAAATCAAATAGATAAATTTTGTATATGTGTGTGCAGGAGTGGAGGATTAGTTTGCCAAAGAAAAATTAATTTGTCTTAAAATGAGAGACAAAGAAAATGGATATTAGGAATGCAGACCAATACATGTTTTCTACATAAAGTCTATGGTACCATTTCTTAATTTGCAGATAACAGTAAACGCCTTTAATGTGAAAATAAAACAATAGAAATAAAATTGCCATGAAGAAGCATAAAATCTGTGAGCTTCCAAATGAGAAAGAAGAAAGAAGTATACTCAATTTCCAAATAATCTGGATTATATTTATTCAAGATATATCAAATATAAGAGACAAGATCTGAGAACTGTTATTATCTTTAATTCAGTAAAGATTTTTGCATATTCTGATTTTGGATGTATGCTAATTATCCAAACAAATTAAGAATTAATATTCTACCTAACCAACCCAATCTACAGATGCAACACTTTTGGAACTTCTGATCACAGACTGTGAGAAAGTCGTAATGTAGTCGGACAACAGTTTGGAAGGGGCAGTTGAAATGGCTCTATTTTTGTGGGAATGCCTTATATAGTTTGATTGATAAACCTATTGACATCCCTCTTCCTTCTGAAATGATAGGGTCTATGGGTTTGAGAAAAGTTTATACATGTATCCAAAGAATGTTGATGCTTTTGAGTTGTGATGTTGGGGAAGAATACTGAGAGTACCATGGACTGCTAAAAGAACTAGCAAATTTGTCCTGGTAGAAGTGCAGCCAGAATGCTCCTTGGAAGTGAGAATGGCCAGACTTCCTGTCACCTACTTTGGTCATGTTGTCAGAAGAGACCATTCTCTGGAGAAGGATTTCATGCTTGGTAAAGTGGAGGGTCAGCGAAAAAAGGGGAAGGCCCTCAATGAGATGGATTGACCCAGTAGTTACAACGATGGGCTCAGGTATAGCAGGGATCATGAGGATGGCACAGGACTGGGCAATGTTTCATTCTTTTGTACATAAGGTCACTATGAATCGGAGACAACTTGATGGCACTTAACAACAACATTCATAGAATTGAGAGTACAATCCTGAGAACACTAGAAATGTGAATTTTTTTTTTTTTTATTGTGCTTTAGGTGCAAGTTTATAGAGCAGTTTGCTTTACATTCAACATTATGTGTACATTTAGTTTCACTCCCCATTTACCATCCCCAACCCTAACCCAGTCTCCTCCCCTCTCTGTCCAGTAACCTCCCTCCCCCTGTGCCCTTCATAGTTATATACTCCTATGTGTCCTGCATTTCCTCCATGCAAATGTTGCCCCTCTGGTGCCCCGTGGTCAATGGCTCCAAGGGATTTATTTCCATAGAGTATGTGGGTGTGTCACCCTGGGTTGAGTGGTCTGCATGTACATCTTCTTTACTATTGGGCTGAGATCCAGCCCCTGGGAGTGAGTTTTATTCCAGGCCAAGAATGTATCCCAGGGCCATAGTGTTGGGGGGTCCCACCAGACTCCATCCAACCAGTAATTCTGGTCATTATTTTTTGGATTTTGTTCCATGTTTTCCCTCCCACTCTGTCCAGGATCTCCAGATTTGATCCTTTCCTGAGTGGTTGGCATTCATTGGTAGCCAGGCACCATCTAGTTCTTCTGGTCTCAAGGCCCATGATGTTCTAGGGCTGATTGCTTTTAAATAGAAATGTGAATTTTCCATGAAACTTCTGTTCTGGGAAAACAATGGGTGTAGTAATTTTCAGAATTCAACATCCTAGAGAGAGATACAATGATTCAAGTATCTTTAAATAGGTTTGGGGCAAATAATAATAATTTATCTACATCTATATCTATATAATTCTATTTAGTTTGCAAGCTATATGTACATATATGCATTTATGCATATTTATACATAATATGAATGAAAGACGACACCAAAGCAACTGTCATTGGTTAATTGAATTTGGTATTATTTTAGTGTTCTTAATTGTCTGAATTTTTTAAAATTCCTGGAATGAACATGTATTACTTTTTTTTT